TCTTTGCATCTTCATTCGCATGTGCCGATGTACCTAAGCTTATCGGCATTAATGTACCTATGTACATGTATGTATATGTGCTAGTGTACCATAAGTATTTCTGCTTCTATGCGTCTATGAATCAAGGGAAATATGTATCTGCTTTCCCATATACTTTCATTTGCATAAGTACCTATCGAAATATAGGCATATAGACATATTGGTACATATATATTTTTAAATATGTTTGAATACACCGTGATTATAAACAATATAATAAACAATAAACAATATATATATATATATATATATATATATATATATATATATATAAATATATATATATATATATATATATATATATATATATATATATATATATATATATAAATATATGTATATATACATATTTGTGTACCTATATTTGTACTCATGTATCTATCGTACATACATATGTACCATATTCATATGAACCCATGTACCTACATATATATAAATATATACATATGCAACCATACATTACACATGCACCTGTATAACATTTTTAGGTACTTATTTACTTATACATATATAAGTTTCTACATGTTTACCTATGCATACACTATACTTAAATACCTCTTTACATATGTACCTTTGCATATATGTACCTATGCATATTCTATACCTATGTACCTCTACACAAATGTACCTTTGAGTATATGCATGAGTATGAGTATACCTATATACCTCTATAAGTACCTTTGTATATATGTACCCATGTACACATACATATGTACCATTGTATACCTCTATATCTTAGTATATATGCATACGTATATCTATGTACACATATACATATATGTAGGTACCTATGCATACACTATGTACTACCATGTACCTCCATACATATATATGTGTCCATGTACCTTAATCATATGTACCTAAATCTGTGTGTATCCATGCACCTAGACAAACAGGTATACTTATACAGACATATATACATACTATGTACCTACATATACATATACCTTTATATACCTACATATAGACCCCTCTGTAAACTCCCTTTTCTTTTTATATGCATACAACCAGTTTCAGACCTATCTATCTATAAAGCTTTCTACATATGTATATTTACATTTTCATATTCGTTCACTCAGTTTTCTAGAATCCAGAGCAACCCATAGATTGCCATTATAAGCTTGCCTGAAGTAACTGTAAATATGAAACAGCTATCGTATATATAAATTGATTCATCGTGTGTCTGCCTTAACAATAAATGTAATTTGCAATTATTTCTCAAATATCCTATGAAAATTACTTTGTTTACTTTAGTCCTCAGTTAATGAGGCAATTGTAAAATTCCGAAACTTCTGTCGCCTCAGCAAAGTATTACGTACATCTATTTACATAGACGCGTGTGTGTGTGTGTATTTACTGTCATAATAATATTGTTTAATTTTTGTTGGTCAACCCCAAGCCATCCATTGCCCCCAGCAGCTCCTCCCGCTCGACCTGTCATAATTTAACCGACAATGCAATCAATATGAGACCGACCGTGCCACAGCCAACAATTTTAATGAGTCGTACTTTTATTTTCACTCTCTATATAATCTGTATACCTGTTTATTAGTTCAAGTTCAAGCGAGTATATCTATATCTATATCTATATCTATATCTATATCTATATCTATATCTATATCTATATCTATATCTATATCTATATCTATATCT